GAGGAGAGGAGCGCTGGTGAATTGGGGCCGAAGAGACGAAGGAGGGAGAGCGGGGTCCGGGGGAGAGAGAGAGAAAGAGAGGGAGGGAGGGAGGGAGAGCCCCTCGGGAACTCCCCTCCCCGAGCTCCCCTCCCTTCGCCCCCTACTCCCGGCACACACATACACACACGCGCGCGCACGCGCGCACCCACACTCCCTCACACACGCACGCACGCACCCCATTGATCAATATTGGGTCGCCTTGCTGCAACTTGCTGCAGTGTTTCAAAGGAGTCGTGGCGGCGGCGGCGGCGGCGCGGATCGAAGCGGAGCGGAGCGGGGAGCTGCGGGGCTGGGCTCGGAGCTCCCGATGTCACATGTGCTTTCTGAGGACCGGCCCGGCGGGCGCCTCTGCAAGCTGGCTCGGGTGGCGGAGGAAGAGGATGCTGCGGCAGGTGATCCACAGAGGGCTCCAGTCGTTCTGCCACAAGCTGGGCTTGTTCGTCAGCCGGCACCCGGTGTTCTTCCTCACCGTGCCCGCGGTCCTGACCATCATCTTCGGCTTCAGCGTCCTCAACCGCTTCCAGCTCGAAAGAGACCTGGAGGTCCTGGTGGCCCCGAGTCACAGCTTGGCCAAGATCGAGCGCAGCCTCGCCAACAGCCTTTTCCCCCTCGACCGCTCCAAAAGCCAGCTCTATTCGGACTTGCACACCCCGGGGAGGTATGGCAGGGTCATCTTCCTCTCCAAGCCCGGAGGCAATATTTTGCATCAGGCTGAAGGACTGCTGCAGATCCACCGAGCCGTGCTGGAAATGAAGGTGAACCACAAAGGCTATAATTATACTTTTTCCCATCTGTGTGTGTTGAGAAATCAGGATAAGAAATGCGTGCTGGATGATATAATTTCAGTGCTAGAGGATCTGAGGCAGGCTGCCCTCTCCAATAAGACAACAGCCAGGGTGCAAGTGAGCTATCCCAACACTAAATTAAAGGTATGCTCTTAACTGCATGCTTTTGCCAATTAAAGAGGCAGCACTTCATTTCTTGTCCTCAGCAGCAAAAAATAAGCCTTCTTGTCCTATGTGTCGTTGTTGTTGTTGCCATTGTTGCTGCTGTTGTTGTCATTGTTTGAAAATGAAGGCACCTGCTGCCATGTTTCCATTTGAGGGTAGAGGGTGGGGGGTGGAGAGGAAGAAAATGGACCAGTTTGGAGCTCAGCTGAAAATCAGCCAAAGGGAAGCCTCTGCAATACCCATTTGTGGTCAAGGGTTAATCCATCATAGTATAGTTAATGGAGTGGTCCATAAGAACACAAATGGTTTCTAAAGCAAATGCAGTCACTTGTACCTACCACAAACTCATCTTGGTGTGATAACATTCTTTTTATACAGAACAGGCTTCTCTCAAGTGCCTTGTAGGAAGCCTGCACTGTGATGTGCTATTAACAAGAGTATTGCAGTGATTCTAGGAATTGTGTTCATCAGCTGCAGGCCAAAGGACTGGGTGGCAAGTCCAGTATCAGAATGACCCATTTTGCCATTGGCTTGGCATATCATTGTGCACTATAAGCACAGTTGTCCAGGAAATCAATATGAAGCACAGAGGTTGAAAGTTTGTGCCTAACTAAACAGCTAAAATGTTTTGTATCCCAAGGCAAACGGGGTCCCCATGTTGTACCTGTTAATTCTTTTTTTTTAAGGTGATCACACCTTAGTTTAACATAATTTCTGGATCCAGAAAAAAATGTTTTAGAATGCTTTTTGAACAGGGATGGGGAAAACTGAGATCAGTTTGTGTTGGGTCTCAAACTTACCAACTCATACTTCTCAAATCAATAGCTGAACTGGAACACAATATACTTCTCAAAATGTGGTCAGGCTATTCTCTGAACAACTAGAAAAAAGGCATATACAAAGAGTAAGATAAGGAAAGTGTACTAAAATGTGCATGTTGGTGGAGGAAAAATTTAAACATTGAAAGTTTGTATGTTAGGCAGACTGTGTGTATAAGAAACTAAGTGAATTAGAAATTGACAATTGTAACACATCCTGTGGGAGGGGGAGCTCTGTTGGTGGCATTATTAGCTGGTGCTCACTACTTGAAAAATGTTATTCTGTTACAGTGAAGTGTATCATGGAAACTTAGTCAATGCTGTGAAAGCTATCCATTCCAAACACATGGGAACTCCATCTAAGCCACACTCAGTACGTAATAAGGTGTTTAATTTCCCTTTGAAATGCCACTTGAACCTTTCACCATTCTTATGTAGCCAAATAAATAATCCAATCAGAATATAAAAATACTTCTCTTTTTCCCCCCTCCTCAAGCCAGAGCATCTCCTTAGCCTAGCTGCTTGGTCCTGTCATTTGTTTAAATCCCTAGGGAAACCCATCTCAGGAAATAAATCCAGGCACCACAGCCAGTCAAACCTGCACTTGCGGACCATTCTTCTTCTTTTATGACTAATTTTAAAAAGTGTGTCTTTCTGTGCTATGATGTCTAAAAGCCAAACATTACCAAGCCCAAATGTTAAAACACTATAAGCTCTAATGCAGCACCACGTTTTCTTTCCTTTCAGTTTGTTGAAGGAAAATTGTGTGATTGCTATTTTTTTGCAGCAGACAGAATTTCCAGTATAACCTTTACCATCGAGCCTTACCATTAGCATCCACAGATGGAGAACTGCAGTATTCTAAATGGTTTGAAAATAGCTGCAGGTCTCACTGTTCTATACATCTTATCTCACTCTTCAAACTTTTCAGGCCCTGGTCCCTTTTTAGGCCAGACAGAGATCTGGTAAGTTGCTTTATAACTTTATGTACAGTGGTGCCTTGACTTACGACCATAATTTGTTCCGGAAGATGGACATAACTCGAAATGGTAGTAAATCAAAGCACAATTTCCCATAGGAATGCATTGGAACGCGATTAATCAATGCCAGACAAAATAATAATAATAATCACAAAAAACCACTCCAAGCCCCATTGGAACGTGATGGGGGTGAAAAATAATCCAACCCCCCCACGCCCCCATACAGCCAGCCCCATCGGAACACGATGGGGCAGGGTGAAATTTTTTTAAAAAAAACACTCCCCCACATACAGCCAGTGGCATCAGAATGCAATGGGGATGGGGGAAAAAATCAAATACCCCCTCCACCCACACAGCCAGCCCCATCGGAACATGATGGGGCTGGGGAATTTTTTTTAAAAAAACACTCCCCCACATACATTTGTATTTGTCCTGGACTTTTCTTTAAGTTGTGGTATTATTTAGGGTTCTGTTCTTTACTTTCTTTTATTTTCTATTGATATGGAATGGAAGACCTGTTTGCCCAGCAAGGGGCCTTTTAACATCCCAGTGATCACAGGTAGAGGGAGATATGGCATTGGCGCAGTCCCTACTCATGTCAGAAGAACAATGAACAGATGTTTGAAGGCTGTCTGTTGTTCTGAGACTGTGACCAACC